GTGGCGGCGGTGGTCGGGATCTGACCACGGGCTGCTGCGGGTGGATCTGGTGGATCCCTTCTCTTCGGGCTCTGGCTCGGCCTCCCTCTCCTCTCGGTCGGGGCCGGAGGTGGGGGCGTGCCGGCCGGATCTGACGCAAGTTTTCTGGCAGGCGGCGTGGGTTGGGGCAGCGACCGGGCGTGGCTGCTGCTCCGGCCATGGGCGGCGGCGCGGGAGGTCCGGGGGTGGTGGCCTCCTGGTGGCGCGGCAGCTACACGGTGGCCGGTGGCTCTGGCCGCGGCAGCGGCCGGCTTTTTCGGCGTCGGCCCATCTGCGGTCGGGCCTTTTCGACCTTTGCTTCACCTCCTCGTCGTCCGGGCTCTACTTGCATCGAAGGGCTGGCCCGCTCCCAGCTATGGCCATCGCTCGTCTCGCGCCCGGTGCCGCGAGACCGAGCTCGTCTCGCGCCCGGCAGCAGGACCGAGCTCGTCTCGCGCCCGGGGCTGCAGGACGGGGCGATGGTGGCCAATCGTGGCCGGCCTATTGGGTCTCGGCGCTGGGGGCCGCTCAGGGGTGCGAAAGGCTGGGCCTTTCCGCTCGTCTCTTTGGTTGGGGTAGCGAAGGGTCTCGAGTGAGGTGGTGTCTTGGTCTTGGATGCCGGGGCGGCGGCCCTAGTGGTGGTAGCACGGAGCTCATGGGCAGAGCCCATGGCTTGGTGCTGCCCGGCTGCTATGGCCGTGTGGGCGGCGTGGTGGCCGGGGTGTGGCGTTCGGTGGCGGTGAGTGTTGGCCGGGGTGAAAACCTGCTCTATCCTGGGACGGACCGGCGACAGTGAAGCTCGTTTCCTTTTTGAAGCCGTCGTCGCGACTCATTTTGCCCGTTGTGTTGCTCCAGGGGAAACTCTGACTCTCTAGTCGGGCGGCGGCGGCACTCCGGTGTTGTATCCTTCCTGAAGGCGCCCGCCTTGAAGTCCACAGTTCGTTGTATGCGGCTTCATCTCTTCATAGATAGGAATGGTGTTGCTGCGCCCAGCATCTTGTCCGAAACGCTCGCCGGCATCTTGTGGCGAATTTACCAGTTGTTCTGTTCCGGTAGGATTAGGAACATCACAGCCCGTCATGGCGGCCGGGAACTCGGCATTCTAAACAGGACTGGTGGCTTGAGATTCTATGACGCACGAGTATAGAAATTATTATCTTACCGAGACGGCATGGGGTTGCTGTTCCTTTTAGATCGAGTTAGTTGGGAGGCAGCAAAGGTGTGAAATTAATTTGAAGACTGTTGGTTAGACTATGAAAACTAGATGATACCCCGCTTGTTGAAAATTTGGGTTGATAACATATGATTTGTATTTGATTGTGTAGAGATGTAAAATATTTATTGAACATATGTAGAATAATTAAAAGGAAAACATTTTTATATGCATGGTTGAATGTTGTGGTTGGTCTTTCTCTATACATGATTGCATGTTGAGGTGGGCCTTATCTCATTTATAGTTGTATATGGTGAGGTGGCATGATTGCATATTGAGATAAATAAGTTAGTGAGGATCACTCTCTTATGTATATAGGATAAGGTACGGGCATCTCTAACATGAACCCTTAAAACAAAAATAGTATCTGTCCCTCGACGGCAAGCTCACCGGCCGTGAGCCTCGGGAACTGAAGCTGTGGGAGGGGAAGGATAAAATGTGGGGCATGGCCGACTTGGGACACCAGGCGTGTCCTAGTCCCATTTCCTATTCTTCCGTGCTAGAGTCTGACATGTTGATGGCGGCGGACGTGGCCGGCCGGCCTCATGGTCATTGTGGCGGGGCATTTGTCGACAATGGTTTGTCGTGCAATTGCATATGCCGAGTTTGTAGTGTTAGAGTTTCTGACCCCATGTAACTACAAAGTAGAATAGAACTGGTGGTATTGTGCAACCTAATCTTCCAACAACGTGTTATGACGGAGACACCTCGTCAAATCAAAAGGTAAAGAAAAATATGTCATTCTAGTGCATACATACATAGCATATGTCAAAATTGTGCCGTGGAATTGATCGACTTGACGAGTGGATGACGGACCAGGTAAACTCACTGAGGGGGTAGAAACTCAAGCGACTTCTACTAAACAAAGCAAACCAATAGCTGGCTCGTTATCTCTATCACCGACAACACACATACCCCGCTTGTTATTACGTGTGTGTGCTCCCAGAAGAGGGATGCAGCGAGGATGAGGGGGAGAAGGAGGAATGAAGGAGTGGTGAGGAGGTTGCTAGGATGCAGCATTGAGGTGCGCATAGGTCGCACAGAGGTAGGAAAAGACATGGATGGAAGATGAGTGAGTTTGGTCGGCCCTATAAACCATCTAGTGTGAACATCACACATCTTGCATAGAATGTTTGTCCAAAACAACTTTTGTGAAGGTCATTTCTGAACTACTTCTACCTATTCATTTAGGAGTGTGCACAACAATAACGACATTGGTAAATATTAAATTACATACAACAACCGACATCTGCAACACCGATGGTGGTCTTCCTGAGGAGCACGTCCCCATTGTGGATGTGGGCAGGATGGAGTAACCATGGGAACGCCGATGAAATGTGGCCACTTTAATTTCTTAGCCATTCCAGCTTGCAAGATAAATAAAAGGTCGACTTTTTAGATGAGAACATTAGTGTGCGTACAAATGTTGAACAATCGAAGCCAAACACAAGCTTGTTTGCTCGTTCTTTACAGTAGACTTTTGTTGTTGTTTAGTCTATATAGAAGAAATCTTAGGAAATATGCAAAGTTATAAATTTGTTGACAAGTTGAAAATAACTAATGTAACATACACGCCAAGGAATGTGAGATAATTTCTAGCATAGATGCGGGGGCACACAGTCCCCTTTTTCTTTTGGCATGCGATTTTCAATCATCCATATCTTCTGAACCAAAAGTCCAAATTAAATTTCGTTTTCATGTTCGTGTTCTGGTGATGATGGCTTTCAAATGAGATCATTTTGAATACGTTTGTATGATTTTTTAATTTTCATTAAGTTTCAACTTCTGAAACTTGGTACGGGCGACCGGCAAAATCGTGAATTTCTGATCCTGTGACCGACAAAAATGTTGAACAATCGAAGCCAAACACACGCTTGTTTGCTCATTCTTTTAGAGTAGACTTTTGTTGTTGTTTAGTCTATGTAGAACAAATCTTGGGAAATCTGCCAAATTATAAATTTGTTGTCAAGTTGAAAACAACTAATGTAACATACACGTCAAGGAATGTGAGAGGATTTGTAGTACAGCTGCGGGGCATGCGATTTCTTTTGCATGCGATTTTTCATCATTCATATCTTTTGAACCAACCAAATTAAATTTCGTTTGCATGTTTGCGTTTCTGGTGATGAGAGCTTTCAAATGAGATCCATTTTGAATAAGTTTGAATGAATTTTTAAATTTCTATTAAGTTTCAACTACTTAAACTTGGTGCGGGCGACTGAAAAAATCATGTATTTCATATCCCGCGACCGACAAAAATGTTTCAACTACTGAAAATTGGTATAAATTCATAAGTTTCAGAACATGCGACCGACAAAAATGTACATTTCAAAAACAGAAACTTAAAAATTATTGTGCCCTCGTGCGGGACCAGCAACTTTGCGGATCACGAGGCAATAGGGTGACCGGCACGGCTAGGCAGGTGCGCGCTCCTGCACGTGCGTGCCCCTGCGAATTTCGGGTCAAGGAATGGATCAAATGTATAACATACACATAAAAAAATTAGAGGACACGTTACTAAAATGAACATACACTATGTGAAACAGAAACAACTTTGTATTATTTTGAAGACAAATAAATGGAACATACACATAAAAAAAATCAACTGCACGTTACAGCTCGCTTGAGTATCATTTATTCAGCATTGAACACACGGTTATTCTTCCGAAACGGATGGAGAGTTGCCAACTGCGGAGGCACCCACACTACCTGAACTTGGCCTTGACGGCGTCGATGTCCTCGTTACTGACCCGGAAGGCCTTGGCCAGCACGTCGCTAGGCACTGGCGGCGCGGCAGCGAAGAGCGTGGTGGCGATGACTTGTGTGCCCTGGAGCTGGCTGTTGAAGCCGGCGATGACGGATGCAGGGCCACGCCCCCTGTTCTGCTGGAAGTGCACGAGGCCACGCGGAAAAACGAACACGTCTCCGACGGTGACAGTCTTAGTGAAGAGCTTGTTGGCGGTGGTGATGAAGCCCACCTCGAGGACTCCTTCGGTGACGAAGATGATCTCGGTGGCACGCGGGTGGGTGTGCGGCGGGTTCTGGCCTCCCGGCGCGTAGTCGATGCGTGCCATGGACACGCCAAGCGTGTTCACCCCAGGGAATGACTGTACATTTGCTGCCGTGACGTTGGACCCTGCCGCGTTGTTGGTGTTGCCAGCCCTCTTGAGTCCGGCAAAGAAGAAGTCGTCTGCCGTGATGTCCGCCTTGCATGGGAACCCATTCAGCTTGATCGCTGCCGCCATTCATTTTGACGAAACACCACATCAGCAACAACCCGCACAAAAGATGCAACAACGAACTTGAGAAAGATGATGACTCACGGGATGCCAAGTCGGCGACGCAGACGTCCTGGAGCATGTCGGCGTCACCGGCGAGGGAGGGGGCGATGAGCGCAAGGAGGACTACAGCAGAAAGCTGAAGCATCACCATGATCGATTGGCCAATGCTTGCTTGCTATCAGCTTGGTGGTATGGTTGTGAGAGTGCTTCTTGGGTGTGGAAATTAGCAACGGTAGGAGCTGGTACTTATAGGCGGTGTGGTTTGTGTATGGAACTATGGAAGTATGGATAGGATCGCCGTCTCAGGGTCGTCGGCTCAGATGGGAGGGAAACACGCAAGAGCCTGCGCATCTGATTCCATTATGTTGGAGCCAATGGGAATATACTAGATTAGTTGATTTTTGCACTCTTGCTGGCTAGTTCCTGCTGCACATGCGTTCTTGAATCGATCCATGATCCATCCATTCGGTGGTATATCCTGTTGGAGACAACAGACCCGAGTTGCACATGATATAGCTGTTATCAAGTTGTTTGGTCGATCGATCCATGATCCACCCATTCGGTTTGTATCGTACTTAGACCGTATAGCTGTTATCAAGTTGAGCTTATTTCTTGAGGTTGGCAAGCTGTTCACTTGGATCAGAGAGGAGTCATTTGGTCAATGACTCCATGAAATTATCCTGATTTTTCTGTGGCTTCTGACTTTTGCAGCTCGCCAGGCTGAGCTGGGATAGCTCTCGTACAGAGAAGAATAGAACCAGTGGTGGAATTGTCTGACCTAGTCCTCCAAGCGCATGTTATGAGACTGAGACCCCTTGTCAAAAAAAAAGAAAGACTAAGGCCACGTTCCAATGTTGTGGAATCGATCAAGTTGATCTCCTTAAATTCACAAAACGGTTAAAAAACCAAGCGACTTATGCTGACCAATCAGATGCAAAACCTGGCGGCTAGAGAGCAAATCAATAGCTGGCCGGCCGGCTCTATCACTGATAGTATGTGCTTGCTCATGGACAAGGAAGGAGACGCTCTCTAGCCTTGTCCGAAACGCTCACCGTCGTCTACCTGTCGTGCTGTTCCGGTCGCAGCCGTCACGGCAGCCGGGAACTTGGCATTCTTATTTAGAGCCGGTGGTTTGAGATTGTAAAACGGGCGAGTATGAGACATTATATCGTTGAGCAGGCTTGCAGGTCTGCTGCTCCTTTTAGGTAAGTTACTGTTGGAAGCTAGCAAAGGTGGTTGGCCGATGCTGGCTTGCTTTGCCATGGCACCATGCTAAACACCCTTAGTTAACAAGTACTCCTAGTCCTTCTTAAGGTTTCTCCTGTTTTAAATGGAACAAGGACATGTTGGGTTGGAGCAGGTTCAAATTACGCAACCTATCTATTAGAAATTGCACGCATGCAAAAGAAAAAAGACACAAAGGGCTCACGAGTTAATTTTTTGGAAAGGTCTTCTAGCCTTATGTATATGTATGTGCTTCCAATGACTGTCTAAGATTTGGGGCTACGGTTTGATTCCTTTGAGTGGGCTTTTTGCGGCATCGGCCACCTTGTTGATGTTTGCCGTGTGCATTGATCTGCTCCTTGTATACATGGTAATGTCCTGTTGTGATGTCCACATTAAGGTTGTGAGTGTGTACGCATATCGATGCAAGATGCTCCGGCTTGCAGCAGGGACTTCTTCATCGAAAGTGGGGGCGACAGTACAAGATGAGTCAAGTTTTGTGATGCCCTCGAGCACAAGGTCTCGAACTCTGTAGTGAAAAATCTTGGCCTGACCTTCTTTGATTTTACCTGTCAATGGTAGTGTTTCACATCATCTTCCTGTTGGAGGCATTATCTAGAGTTTACTCAGACTCCCTCTTCGGGGTGAAAACCCACGATGTACCCTTGGTGGGTGGATGTAGTGATGTCGAAGCTCGCTACATCATTTCCTTCTTGGAGGCATTGTTGTTGAAGCACTTTTCCCATAGTCCGGGTTCTGACATCAA